TAGAGCCCTCGGGTCTGGAATGAGGAACCTGGTCAGACTTAGCATGTTATCTAAATTACAGTTTTTGTTTTGGGTCTTCGGAACACTGAGTCAACAGGGACATGTTAACTGGAGCCCTCTGACCTTGAGATAATTGTGCTGTCCTTCCCAGGTAAGGGAAAATGTGCTTTCTAAGACTAGTATAACCACAACCCATGGGATATTCACATAATCAATAGGGTATTTAATCGAATGGGATGATTTATATAATTCAGAAAATCAAAATAACCTGTCCATTGTTAAACAAAGCAAATAGGTACATAAGCCAAACAGCAGGGTTAGAGTTAAACTACAGTTTCTACCTGAGATGGTTGTTACCATGCTTCACTAGGAGATCATAAGGAACAGAATGCTTATTATAAACTAGGCTGCCTTAAACATCTGTAAGAAATTTTATAGATGGCAACTGTAAAAAAGACTAAAAATAATTGTTCTCTTCTGTAAGCAAACTGTTTGTTGACCTATGTTCTGCTGGAGTCCTCATCGGATTCTGTTGATCCAGTAGATGGACATCAGTGAATAGGAAATAACCTAATTTGCATTATATTTCTCTGCCATCTGACCACTCACGTTAATCCTGAGACCTTTACCAGTTCACTGATCACCAATCAGAGCCAATGCTGAGGTGGATAAAGGTCTATACTTTTCAACATAAGGGACTGGGACTAAGCCCTTCTTGCCTTTGCTGTTCTCATTCTTCCACTGCTCTTCAGGTGCTGCCTGGATTCTCAGGGTGCCTCCTTTCTTAAAGGCAAATCTGCATCACACTCATTGGGTCAGAAGAGGGGTTGAGTCATACCTCCTCTGGCTCTTCCTGCCTGAGAATTACCCCACTTCCCTGCCGGGTCCTGGAAACTGGTTCTATCAACATTGTAGTGTCCAAATAGTGCATTTTGTAGAATTCCAGCAAGTAGGCAATTAATCACACACCTGATCTTCTGTTTGAAATCTAAGGGGACTCAACCCAGCTACTCCACTGCTCGGAGAGAAGCCACCCATCTTGACCATCTTATCACCAGTCCCAGGATC